TTTGAATTAATTTTTGTGAAGGGAGTAATATCTGTGTCTAGATCCATTTTTTTTCATGTGGTTTTCCAGTTGTTTCAGCACCATTTGATGAAAAGACTGTCTTTGCTCCTGTCAAATATCAGCTGACTATACTTATGTGGGTTTCTTTTGGGGTTTTCCATTCTGTTCCACTGATCTATTTGTCTGTTCTTTTGCCAATACCATACTGTCTTGATTAATATAGCTTTATAGTAAGTCTTGAATTTGGATTGTGTCAGTATTTCACCATTGTCCTTCTCCTTCAATATTTTGTTGATTATTCCAGGTCCTTTGACTCCATATAAACTTTAGAATCAGTTTGTTAATATCTACAAAATAACTTGCTGGGATTTTGATTAGGATTGCAATGAATCTATAGATCAATTTGGGGAGAACTAACATCTTGACAATATCGAGTCTCCCTACCCATGAACATGGAATATCTCTTCATTTATTTAGTTCTTCTTTGATTTCATTCATCAGAGTTTTGTAGTTTTCCTCATATAGATCTTGCACATATTTTGTTAGGTTTATACATTAATATTTCATTTTCTGGGATACTAATGTAAATGTTCCAATTTCACTTGTTTATTGCTGGTACACAGAAAAGTGATTGAGGTTTGTATATTAACCTTATATTCTGCAACTGTGCTACAATCACTTATTATAGTAGTTCCAGTAGGTTTTTTGTTGTTGTTCCTTCAGATTTTCTACATAGATGATTGTATCATCTACAAAGATGGTTTTATCTCTTACTTCCCAATCTGTATATCTTTATTTTATTTTTCCTGTGTAATTGCATTAGCTAGGACTTTTAATATGATGTTGAAAAAGAGTGGTAAGAGGGGACATCTTTGCCTTGTTTCTGATCTTATTGAGAAAGCTTTTAGTTTCTCACCATTAAGTATGATGTTACCTGTAGATTTTGTTTATCAAGTTGAGGAAGTTCCCCTCTATTTATAGTTTACTGAGAGTTCTTATCATGAATGGATGTTGAATTTTGTGAAATGCCTTTTCTGCATCTCTTGGTATAATCATGTGATTTTTCTTTTTTAGCCTGTTGATATGATGGATTATATTAATTGATCTTTGAATGTTGAACCAGTCTTGCATACCTGGGATAAATGCTACTTGGCCATGGTGTATAACTTTTTATAATGTTTGGATTCTGTTTGCTGATATTTTGTTGAAGAGTTTTGCATCTGTGTTCATGAGAGATAATTGGTCTTTAGTTTTTTTTTCTTGTAATGTCTTTCATTTTGTTATTAGGGTAAAGCTGGCCTTGTAGACTGAGTTAGAAAGTATTTCTTTTGCTTCTATCTTCTGAAAGAGATTGTAGAGAATTGGTATAATTTCTTCCTTAAATGTTTGGTAGAATTATTTAGTGAACGCATCTGGGCCTGGTGCTTTCTGTTTTGGAAGGTTATTAATTATTGGATTCATCAAGTTTTAAAGAATTGTCATCATAAAGACAACAGTCTTTGACCACAGTGCAATCAAATTAGAAAAAAAAAAAAAAACTACTGAAAATTAAACATGTTTGAAATTTATAAAACTAACCCTTAATAATGCAATAAAAATGACAAAATATTGAAAACTGAATGACAGTGAAAGTGCCACTTCTCAAAGCTTCTAGGATGTAGCAAAGTTGGTACTTAAATCCTCCCATTTAAAAAACAAGAAATATGTAAATGTAAATCAGTCATGTGTTCAAATCAAGACACTAGAAATAAATAAGCTATTGAATAAACATAAAGAAAGCAGAAAGAAGGAAATGAACATAAAACTGAAATGTGTAAAATTGAAAAGGGGAGAAAACATTGAAAACAGCACAAAGTAGTCACCTCAATGAGAATCCCCAAATTGCCAGACATCTGATAAGATCTATCAAGAACAAGAGAAGAATCAACAATAAAATATTCTGCCATAGGTGAATTTATGAGCAAATGGTAAACCCTAGAAAAAGCACATTTGATAAGCAAAGGACTAATGGCCTTGGTTTAGAAGAAGTGTTTCAATGTTATTGAAAAAATGAGTAGTCTCCTAGAAAAATGGTCAAAGGTTATAGTCAGTCAATTCATAGGAAAAAAAGTTACAAATCTGGTTATGAATTTCTAAAAAAAAAATCAACCTCAATCATACAAATATAAAGATATGCACATAAAAATATCAATGAGATGAGTATCAATTTTCTCTATCAGAATGGCAAAAGTTTTAAATATAGTAATATCCAGTATTGGTGAAGATATTGGGGAACACATCTCAGTAAATATGTAAAAAGTATTTGGAAAATTTGGTATTTATTCATGCTGTAAAAAGAAAACAACAAAGAAATCTTAGCAAAACATCTTTAATCCAATCTGATGTGGTGGTTGAAAGTATGGACTCCATAGCTAGACTGCTTGGGTTTGAATCCTGATTTTATATCCTTGTTGGTGGGTGACCTTGGAGAGTCAGTAAACTTCTTTATGCCTCAATTTTTTCATCTGTTAAATGGGAACAATAATAATACCCACTCAGATTGTTATGAGAATGAAATTAGTTAATATATGTAGATCACTTAAAACAGTGCCTTACTATATAATTAAGTATATAGTACTTACTATATAAGTAAGTACTTACTATATAAGTAAGTACTATATAATTTGTTTTTTAAATAAATTTCACAGGGAAAAATAATTTCTAATAGCCACCATTTTAATTGGCAAATATCCTATTGCTGATCTCAGATAAAGATAATTGTAGCACTAGAAGTTGGTAGCCTGTGGGGTTATGGGTTCTGACTAGAGCCCTTTAGTTACCAAGTAACAATCTTTAGAGTATAGCTTAAAACAGAAACTTGTGTATCACACTGATTATGCTGAAATATTTTAAAGTAATTTGAAGGCAAAATGACACAGAGTTACATATGTATGGGAACTTTGTATTTGGCAGAGATGGCATATACATCAGTAGGGAAGGGATTCCATAAACAGCACTGATTATCCATATAACAACTACAATTTCTTTGAAGGTGTTACAACAAGCAAACGGAAAGGACATTCTTGGGGGGGAGGGGGGAGAGGGAGGAGGGAGGGAGGTTTCGGTGATGGGTCATAATAATCAACCACATTGTATATTGACAAAATTTTTTAAAAAATTTAAAAAAAAAAAAAACACGTTTGCCTACTATAAGATAAAACTATGTTTATCAAAAGACCATTCCCCTACCCCTCCAAAATAAAGTTTAAAGACAAGCAATTGATTAGGAAGATATTTACAATGCTAATAATGATGAAACGTTAGCATTCAGAATATATCAATATGAGACTAACATTATGACCTTGGGGCTGGGAAGGGTTTATTACAATACAAAGAAAAAAAATTTTTAAAAACACGTTTGCCTACTATAAGATAAAACTATGTTTATCAAAAGACCATTCCCCTACCCCTCCAAAACAAAGTTTTAAGACAAGCAATTGATTAGGAAGATATTTACAATGCCAATAATGATGAAAGGTTAGCATTCAGAATATATTGAGGACTAAATCATCACATAAAAGATAAAATTCAGCATTAAAAAAGAGCAAATGATTTTAATAAGCAATTCACAGAATTGAAATCCTGAATGAATGGGCAATGAAATGGGAAAACATGCTATTAATACTAAGAAAAATGGGAATTAAAACAAGTATGCAAAACATTTTATATATGTCAGATCGGCAAGAATTAAAACGTCTGACAATACTAAGTTATTTTCACAATATGTGAAAATGGAAATTATAAATTTCTGATGGTGGAAGTATAAATTAGTAACACTGCTTTGGAGGAAAATTTGGCAATATCTAATAGAATTGAAGATTATGTTAATTAATAGTTTTCTGTTTCCAGGCATCCAACTAGAAACAGGAAACTATTAATCAGTTTGTATAATTAATAAGCTGAATAATTTAAAACAATAACAAATAAAAATAACTTATTTGTATGCAGCTAAGCCAATGCATGTATATATGGATGTAAATATCTAAAATGAATTCATTTATTTTGTAGCCAATTTGTGGCATGTGATTGCTTTTTTTCCTGGCAGGTTAGTCTTGGTGTATAGAAAGCATTCTTATTACCCACACTTGTCCATTTGCACCCCATTATCTACATAAATTCTACTATTCTATCAGCTGACTATCTCTATTAGAAGTTACACACATGCTATTTGAAAAATAACAGTTTTTCAGCATTGTCTCTTTCTTTACTCAGAAAACACATTGTGGCACAAGTGGTCATTGAAATGAAATGTCATTTAATTTGACAATACAATTATTTCTGCCAATAGCTACTATTAAGTGAATTAATTACATAGGTATAACAGTCTACTGCTCTTCTATTTTCTACTGTTATTCTCCAAGTAAGAAGTTTGAAGTTTTAAATAAAGTAGGAATAAATGAGAAAATTCGTACTGTTGTGTATGAGTAAAATAAATCATAATGCTTAAAATATCAAGGATTTAATTTTTTTTTTTTTTTTTTTTTTTTTGACTGGTAAGGGGATAGCAACCCTCGGCACAGTGTTGTCTGCACCACGCTCAGCCAGTGAGCGCACCGGCCATCCCTATATAGGAACCGAACCCTTGGCCTCGGCGCTACCAGCCCCGCACACTCCCGAGTGAGGCATGGGGCCAGCCCCAAGGATTTAAATTTTATGTCTTTGAAATAATGCTAGTTTTCTCTACCCTAATTACAGTTCTTCAAAAAGGAATTGAAACAGTGCATCTGGTAGTTGATGCAGTGCAATAGAAATATGTTGAAGCTTATTTTTCAGGAGCAAGAAAACCAGTTACCCAAGGGAAATAGGAAAGTAAATACTAGAAAAGTACATTTTACTTTAGGATCAAAGCAATTTAAAATATACGCACACTAGTTTCCTAGTAAGGAGGGGCCAAGGGAAGGGGAATATGTCTTAAAAGTTCCAATCTGATAGTTATCTAAAAAAAAAAACTTTCTTGGCAGGTTTAGATCCAGATAAGCATCTTGGGAAAACTCTGGATCAAATGGAACCTTATCTCTTAGAGGTAAGAATTTATACTAGTTCTCAAAATATAGTCACCTAAAGAAAAAAAATAGTGCCATGATATAATGACTGTATAATTGATTTTATTTTTGAAAAAAAAAATCAGATACATTCATGATAATTTTTTATGAAAAAATTAAACTTCTAATGGATATGAAAATATGTTTTAAATTATGAAAATTGGGCCGGCCCGGTGGCGCACTGGAGAGTGCGCCACTTGGGAGCGCGGCGGTGCTCCCGCCGAGGGTTCGGATCCCATGTGGAGACCGGTTCCCGCTCACTGGCTGAGCGCGGTGCGGGCGCAACACCGAGGGTTGCAATCCCGTTGCCGGTCCCCGGTGTGGGCACGACACCAAGGGTTGCAATCCCGTTACCGGTCAGTAAAAAAGACAAAAAGGAAAAAAAAAAGAAAAAAATTATGAAAATTATTACCAGCATGTTGACCAAAATATTAGAATAAGTTATACCTAAAAGGAAATTGCTTCATCAGAATGTTTACTTTTAATAAAATAGATGTTGTATGCTGTACTAAAATTACATACTCCTAAAGCATCCAGTAGTCTCCACAATCAGATGCTTTGCCATCAGAAACAGGAGTGGAAGCTTCCTTTAGAGATTATCTAATCTAACCTCTTCTCTTTAACCAATTAGGAAATTAATTTACAGAGTAACAAGCAAATTATAGCAGGGTTTCAAGTTACCCTATATAACTCTTATTATTGTCAAATCTAAATGTGTTCTAAACATTAAAGAAAAATTCAGTTTTTTTATTTACTCTTTTCTATTAATTGTGTTATACTATTTCACAGTAATGATGGAAAAAGAAAATCACCCTTCTTCTGTGGAAGGACTGAACATCTCTAATAAATCGTCATTTTTCTCATCCTAGGCTCTTAATTCATCAGTATTGTCTCTGGATATTGTTTCTGCCATTGCTAAGATATGCTAAGTTAGCAGTTACACTCCTCAGTAACTATGGGTTTTATATTTTCTTTGGGAGTATTTGTAATTGATTATTTTATGTACCAAATGCCTAGGAATCTCTAAAATGTTAATTCCTTCTTTCATTAAGCGTTATTAAGCATCTAATATGTGCCAGGCAGATAGTAATTATTAAAAGAGAAATGAAATGATTACATAGTTGTGATAAATTTCATTTGCTTTCTATGTAATTTGGTGTCATTTATTTAAGACAGTCTATGGGACACAGTTGCTTTCCGTGTTCATCTGTTAAGATTCTTCTTGCAGCAATTTGTTATGTAGCCAACATTATATGTTTGTTCACACCTATTCACTACTGTCAGACTAAATATAGCCTCTACCAAAACAATGTGGATAAATAATTAAATTAAATTTATGGAAAGTGAAAGAAAGATAATTTCAGAAATGATATATTATGGCTTTAGCAAAAGAACTTTTTTGCCAAAAGAGCTACCTTCAAAATTTGAAGTTATGAGTTCACATGTTAAGCATCATTAGGGTACAATCCAATCACCTCTCAAAGGCCCCAACTTTCAAATATCATAATTGGATTGTATTTCCCATCCTCTTAACACTGTTACAATGCAGATCAAGTTTCCAATATATGAGCTTTTGGGGGACACATTTGGGTCATAGCACAGCTTGAGCTAACTAATACTGACTCTAGAAGAAATGGAAAATCTGTATAGATCTGTAACAAATAAAGGTATTGAAGTATTCATTTTAAAACTTCCCACACAAAAGCCGAGCCCAGAGAGCTTCACTAGTGAATTCCACCAAACATTTTAAAAAGAATTAATACAAATTCTTCACAAACTGTTCCAAAAAATAAAATAGGTATAACCATTTCCCAACTCATTCTATTATATCAATATTACCTTGATCACAAAAATGAAAGACATCACAAAACAACAACAAGCTACAAGACAACAAAACTACAAGCTAATTTTTTTATGAACAGATATAAAAGTCTTCAACAAAATACCAGTAAACCAAACATTGAAACATATAAAAGAATTAACACCCTGACCAAATAGGATTTTTTTCAGGAATGCAAGATTAAGATCTGCAAGTTAATGTAATACACCTTGTTGAAAGAATAAACAGCAACTACATGATCATCTCGATAGATACCAAAAGTGTATTTGACAAGTTTGAATACCCATTCATGATAAAAAACACTCAGGAAACTAGGAATAGAAGGAAACATCCTCAACCTGATAAAAGGCCTCTGAAAAACCAAAAGCTAATGTTATAACTAATAGAAAATGGAATGCTTCCACCCTAAGACCTTTCATTTTCAGTTTCTAGTGTATGGAAAGAAAATTTATTTTAGTATATTTATTTTTTATCCTGTTACCTTGTTGAACTCATTTATTTTTCTAATAGTTTTTTTCTTTTAGTGGATTCTTTAGAATATTCTACATACAAAATCATATCAACTGCAAATGTTATTTCTTTCTTTTCTATCTAGATAATGTTTTTTCACTTTTTTGCCCAATTGCCCTGGCTGGAAACCCCATTATGATGTTGAATACAAGTGGCAAGAGAAGCTATCCTTGCCTTGTTTTTGAAATCTTAGGGTAAAAGCATTCTGTCTCTCCGTTTATTCACTTGCAGTTCCTCAAAAAGTTAAGCATAGTTTACCCTGTGATGTACCATATGAGTTATCATTCTTTGTAGAAAAGCCAAGTAAGGTTTTAGGGAGTATCAGGATGTTGGTTATGAGTTAACCTGGATATTTTCATAAGACGATTAAACACAAAAATGCAGAAATAATTTTATTCAACTTCAGTAAGTCCCTCGACATGGCCTAGGAAATCTAACATTTTCCTGGAAGCATTTTCTACTCATTCTCCATGATGGCTATTTTATTCCTTTTCCACTCTCCTCAAATTTCAAATCTCTTCACCTTTTCCCTCACTTTGAGTGGATGACTTGTCTCCTTAGAGAAAATAGAAGGAAGCTATCATACTGGAAATCCCTCAGCCTCTCAGCGCCACCACTACTAACTTACCTGTGTCCATACCTATCCTTGCTTCCCATAACTAGGAGAACTGTCTTTCCTCATAAGTATACTTGTGCTTACCTGTGCTTGGATCCCATTTCACCTGCCTTTTTAAAGAACAGTAGTCAACCCACTGTCTCTGCTGTTTTCATACTCTCTTTATGGTCTCCTTCACATCCGTATTTAAACATACTGTAGCCTCTCCCATTGTAAAGATTCCCTCCCTCCACCCTAGGTCTTTCTCTCACTACCTCTTTCTTTGCTTCAAAACTAAATTCACTTTAGTTCTTTCTCTAACTACTTCTCTTTCTTTGCTTCAAAACCAAAATACTTAAAAGTCTTATCTGTGTTTATTATTAGTACTTCATATCTCAAATGACTTATGTACCTGGAGTCTGGCTTCTCCTTCTACCTCTAAATGGATACACCTTCTGACCAAGATGACCCACAATATCCATTTTACCAAACTTGGTAGACATCTCTTAGTCCTTATTTGCCAGGTACAAACACTCCTTATTGAAATGCTTATATTTGCATTCATATGACATACTTTCCTAGTTGTTCTCCTTTTGTTCTGGACACTTCTATTCTCTTTTGCCAATTCTTAGTCTAGGCTCTATTTTCCCTCTACAGACTTTTCCTGGGCGATCTCAATCACTCACACAGCTTTAATTATCACATCTGTTCTGATGATTCCCAGATCTTTCTAGCTGAGATTTCTCTGCTAAGCTCCAGTGCCCAAAGGCACCACAAAGTAAATTTCTACATATTTGATTGTGGCCTTTATATCCATTGCTTTTTGCCATTCCATTTGTCATCATGTTGATTCTGGTTCCTGTCATTTCAGGCCTAGAGTATTACTGATACCTCCAAACCTGCCTCTGCCTTCTACTTTATTTCCCAAAGAATTCATTTTGCTTCCTGCCTCAAGATAATTGTTCTAATGTATTCTACTGTAATTGTGTCACTCACTCAAAACTTTAAATGAGTCCCCATTGCCTACAGGCTAAAATTCAAATTCTTTAGATTCCCTTTTCCTTTACCTCCTATATCTAACTCATTAACCTGATCTTTTCTGCTCTATCTCCGGGATATATTCTAAATCCAAGCACTTCTCGCCATCTCTACTGCTAGCACCAGACCATAATCACCTCTAGTCTAGAGTACTACATCAATCCCTAACTGCTCTGCTTACTTCTACTATTGCGCTGCTGTAATCCATTATTCATACAGATGCCAAGATGATATTTTTAAAGTGTAAATCAAATCATATCACTACTTGGTTTAAAATTTAAATGGGTTCTCATTGCAATTAGAATAACATACAGACTCCCATGAGATCACAGTCTATGAAACTCTGTATGATCAGCACCCTATCAGTCTTTTCAGGTTTATCTGCTACCAGTCGCTGTCCCATTCATTGTGCCATAACCACATATGTCTCTTTATTACTTATACACACTTTATTCACCCTTTTTCTCCTTAGGGCTTTCCTTTGCCTGAAATGTTTTTTTCCTTGAACCATCATATGGTTAACAACTTCTTATAATTTAAGTGATGGCTCTAATGCCACCTCCTCAGAGAAGCTCCCCCTCACTACTCTAGCTAAAGTAGATCTCTCCAAATTATTTATTTATCTATTTACATGTATATTGTCTGCCCACCCCCCCAACACACACACAGGATGTAAACTCTAATGACCCTGCCAAAATTTTGGCAGAGATTAATTCTTTAGTTATTTCATTCAGTTGCTTGTTCATCTGTCCATCTAGTCATCCATTTATCTCAACTTTAAATTATTTAACATTTATTGAAGGTCTGCTATGTCACATATGCTATGGTGAACATTAAGTGTATACAATGAATTAAATAAATGAGATCCTTGTTCTTGAGGAGTTTACAATCTGCTTATGTTGTTTTCATACCTGACGGTGCAATTCACTGAGGTCCTTGTTAAAAAGCATATACTCTTCCCCACCGCAAGAAATTTCAGTTCAGAAGGACCAGATATC